TTATCCTGATTGTTAGGTCTGCAGTGTTACCAATGACTGGTTATCCTGTTTGTTAGGTCTGCAGTGTTACCAATGACTGGTTATCCTGATTGTTAGGTCTGCAGTGTTACCAATGACTGGTTATCCTGATTGTTAGGTCTGCAGTGTTACCAATGACTGGTTATCCTGATTGTTAGGTCTGCAGTGTTACCAATGACTGGTTATCCTGATTGTTAGGTCTGCAGTGTTACCAATGACTGGTTATCCTGATTGTTAGGTCTGCAGTGTTACCAATGACTGGTTATCCTGATTGTTAGGTCTGCAGTGTTACCAATGACTGGTTATCCTGATTGTTAGGTCTGCAGTGTTACCAATGACTGGTTATCCTGATTGTTAGGTCTGCAGTGTTACCAATGACTGGTTATCCTGATTGTTAGGTCTGCAGTGTTACCAATGACTGGTTATCCTGATTGTTAGGTCTGCAGTGTTACCAATGACTGGTTATCCTGATTGTTAGGTCTGCAGTGTTACCAATGACTGGTTATCCTGATTGTTAGGTCTGCAGTGTTACCAATGACTGGTTATCCTGATTGTTAGGTCTGCAGTGTTACCAATGACTGGTTATCCTGATTGTTAGGTCTGCAGTGTTACCAATGACTGGTTATCCTGATTGTTAGGTCTGCAGTGTTACCAATGACTGGTTATCCTGATTGTTAGGTCTGCAGTGTTACCAATGACTGGTTATCCTGATTGTTAGGTCTGCAGTGTTACCAATGACTGGTTATCCTGATTGTTAGGTCTGCAGTGTTACCAATGACTGGTTATCCTGATTGTTAGGTCTGCAGTGTTACCAATGACTGGTTATCCTGATTGTTAGGTCTGCAGTGTTACCAATGACTGGTTATCCTGATTGTTAGGTCTGCAGTGTTACCAATGACTGGTTATCCTGATTGTTAGGTCTGCAGTGTTACCAATGACTGGTTATCATGTTTGACTCATGTACTCATCTTTTACAACTAAAATCAAAGAAATCTGGAACTGTAAGCTGCAGGCTTTTATCTCTGCTCTGCCATAAAAATGGGCAAAATGAAAACTAAAATGGAAGCCTGATTAAATGATGAAAATGGTTGCTAAATTTCATGAAAGTCTGTTGAATATATTTTAAGCAGTTGTCAAGATACAAGTTCTTATTGTAATGGAGACAACTACACATGTCCGTTATCTCAGCCGCCACTAAACAATCATCCCAGACGAAACTATTTGAATCCTCCCAACATAAGTCAACGTAAGGCTATCAATGACCGTGGGTTAATTAATAGTGAATTCTTTAAACGACTTTAACTATTGATAGGACATTAAACGCCATACAACAATTCAAACCTTATCTGAATAAGTCTATGGTCTACAGTGGTGAAATGGTCAAACCCCATACAACCAATCGACCCTTATATATAATAGATACGAAGATACACTTTATATATATAATAGATACGAAGATATATATATAATAGATACGAAGATACATATATAATAGATACGAAGATATATATATATAATAGATACGAAGATATAAATACAGTAGGTAAAAGAAATCAGATTTCCTAACTAGTCATACCTCTGATTAGCGATGAAGGGGAAAAAAACAATTAGGCTAATCCTAAATGAATATGTTTTGAACATGTTAAGAAGCAGATACATGTTCAGTATATGCATTGTGAAATTAATCTTTAAAATAAGATAGCTTGCCTAACTATGCAACTATCCTTACCCAGCATTCTAAATCTGTGTGAGGCTGAAATGAACAATTTGTTTAGCCAACAGACTTGAGTAGAAATCTGTTTTCATGAACATTATAAGATGAGACATCAAATATATATATATATAAACCACATATCAGATTTCCTTAAAATTAATTTTAAGAATAGCAGGGAAAAGAAATAATTTCCAGAAATATTGTCAGATCTATAATCTAATCTGTGTCATATTTTTCTGACATTTATTTTAGAATAATTGATTGACATGATCTTCACAATATATAAAGACAAAAAGGTCACACAGAGCTTAATTAAGGATAGCATTGGTGAACAATTGATGTCAAGGCCAGAACATAAAATGTCACAGAGAGCTTAATTAAGGATAGCATTGGTGAACAATTGATGTCAAGGACAGAACATAAAATGTCACAGAGAGCTTAAGGATAGCATTGGTGAACAATTGATGTCAAGGCCAGAACATAAAATGTCACAGAGAGCTTAAGGATAGCATTGGTGAACAATTGATGTCAAGGCCAGAACATAAAATGTCACAGAGAGCTTAAGGATAGCATTGGTGAACAATTGATGTCAAGGCCAGAACATAAAAGGTCACACAGAGCTTAATTAAGGATAGCATTGGTGAACAATTGTTGTCAACGCCAGAACATAAAAGGAGAGCAGGAAAAGAAGAAAGGAAAACCTACAGATCCTGAACAGTAAGACACAGCAGGCCCATTCTGTTTTATACGTTGGCAGCCTGTAAAACACATTCTGCCAGCTCCACGGAGGTCACACAGACAAGGTGTTCAACTTCTATAGTCTAACACAAGGGTTATGGCAGATCTACAATTGTCTAAACAGTGCAGCGTCCTCTCATCATGGACCTCATTCCTATTCTCCTATCTTCATTTCAGCTAGAACTATAATAAGAGCTGCAAAGTTTCATTGAAACTTGTTAATTTGTTTCTTACCAAAAAAAGGGACGCAAGTGTTAAAATGAACAAGAGATCCCAGAGGGATCTTGGCGCCCACATTTGTACCATCTTCATTATTTCTTTGTCAGTTCGATCTTTTCTCTTCTTTCCTCTAATCTGTTTGATCGAGTCATGTTAACAGTAAATGCACCTTGAGGTAACTTTTGATCTAAACTTTATACTGATGTGTATGAAAGCCAATCTTCAAAGTGAGTTTGTCATTTCACATATTTACTAGTACAGTTCTTAAATGTGAAAGAAATAGAATCGATCATTGCAATATGAGAAAGATCTGTTTAGTTCTTCTTTTAATACATTTTGTGTTTATGATCAGTCTCAAAAGTTGCCCTGCACAGCTAAGGACCAAGGGGAAACTACATATAAAGTTTGAGAAAGATCCCTCAGGTGCTTCTTGAGAAAAAGCAATAACAAACTTTCACTATCAAAATCCAAGATGGCTTCCTGTCGGCCATGTTGTATATCCAATCAGTCTCAAAAGTTGCCCTGCACAGCTAAGGACCGAGGGGAACCTGCATATAAAATTTGAGAAAGATCCCTCAGGTACTTCTCGAGAAATACCGATAACAAGAATTGTTTAAGGACAGACGGCGGACGGACCACGGACCACGGACGCAGGGTGATTTGAATAGCCCACCATCAGATGATGGTGGGCTAAAAATGTGTTACATAGTAAATATCTCCTATGACCTGGAAAAAATCCTGACTGTCACGATAAGGATTTTGTCCTTGATTCTATAATTTTTCTCACATTGTCAGTCAATGCCATTATGGCATAACCCTTGTAATTCACCGATTACAAAAATAAAATGTCAAATTGTACACTTTTAAATCTCACAGCTATCTTATTCTTTTTCATACACAAATCATCGGTGAGATATTCTTGGTTTCTTTTTATTCATTTCTTTTTTTACGTAATGAAAAACTACATTTTTTTCAAACCACTGTAGAATGTACAAGTGTTTTTTTAACACATGTTTCCCGATCAACTTCAAGATGGAGTTCTCATGGTAAAGTATTACAAAAACAAAAAAACATTTCTGCAAGTGACTTTTTAAATAATTACATTTTTCACTCTCTTTTTATCAATTTGAAAAGGATCGGAACAGTTTTAGCTTCCTGTTGTTTTCATCCATTGAACCTTCGACAAGATGTTAGTTTAAGAGTAGCCTTTTCCACCGAGAACACTATGTACCTCTATTTAATTACTCAGAGTATACCTCAAATCTATTACTGGAATTCAATATACTCCAAAATCACAATTGTCAAGACAATATACACACCATACTACACACAGCAAATAAATTTAACTGCTGTTGGTGAAATGTAATTCTACATTCTCTAAAGACACTGTTCAGAAGTCTTTTTCTTTCTGTAACAAAACTGAGAATTTTCCCCCCGAATTCCATTTCTGAAAATTTTGATAGGTATTAAACACAGAGCCCTTACTGAACTGAGACTGAGATCAGAAAAATTACAATGTTATGGTAAACATTGAAAACATAATTTGTAATTTCTGATAAAGTATGTAACGTTTTGCTCATACCACCTAAATCTGCAGACAAACTGGGAGTGAAGTACTTTGGAACAAACAGGAATTACAGTTTGACGGGTTTAAAACAAAAATGAATTTTGAGACACATCATAAAACAAGTTTCCCATTTGATATGACTATCATACTTCTAGAACACGCTGACATTTTTCACCTGTAAAGGGAATTTAATTGCAATCTTCTACGTATTGATAATTGTTTTGTATTGATTTTAAATAGAGACGCTTACTGTTGAATATCGAAGTATTGGTGTATTGAAATCAATCAAATTAAAGATGACAAGGGTATTATGTGAGGTATTACAGCTGAGGCTATAATCACCCAGTGACAGACCCGTGGCCTCATTGTGGAGTATACATGACAGATTCACGCCAACGTTATTACATTATTAATACATCGGTATGTCCAATATCACATTCCCTCTCCACCTTCTGGAGCTCCCACCTGGAGAAGCATGCCTTGAAGATGTCTTCTCTGTATTAAAAAAGTTTTGTCTATATTACATGAATTGTCTATATCTAAATAAATATCATCAGAAAATATCACAATTGTGAGATGCTACAATCAGATTCCGAGTCTCGCAACGCCAGTAGTATCTACAATATTTATATGTATAGACATCAATCAGGGTGGAGATGGAGATGACCCTTGTCAGCTTCTGTATCTATATAAGTGATGATCACGGTAAGATTGACAGGTATAGAGAAATATGTACAAACTTACATCAATCACTGTGACACTGGATCCCTCTGTGGAGCAAGGCCGGCTGATGATGATAATAAAATCGCTTCAACAGTCCTTGGAGCAAGTGATCCTCACAATACAATATACATATGTATGACTGTGCAGGCTGGTGGCATTGTAACATGCACTCTGGTGATACCACAGAGATTCTGGTCTCAATGCTTCTGTACAGGATTGCTGCTGAAGCTGAGGTTAACTCAGCATCCGTATCATTCCAATGTAATGAAATCTACTAGCCATGCATGAAATCAGCACCCTGGTCAGTGTTTTTATACAGTTTTACATTGTAACAGTCTCACAAGTGTTATACTGTCTGGAACTGAAACTCGATAGGAGGGGGGAGGACTTACATATTACACTAATACACATGGGAGGGAGAACTACAGTTTACACTGTATATATACCACAGAGTATACACTGACTATATATATAGGAGGGGGCATCTGTAAAGTATGTTAGGTATCAACTGGGAAGGAGGGAAGAATATGGAACAGACTTCGGACTTCCCTAATGTGAAATGAGTTCTTTAGGTAAATGCAGTCCAATCCCTATTAAGAGACCATCAATGGTAAGTTCAAAAGTGGCCTCTTAATACAGGTTTATTTCAAAATAAAATTATCACAATAGGGAGTATTAAAAATCGTCTCTGAACACAGGTGGTCTCTTAACTTTTCCAAGTATACAAGTTAAGTTAACACAGGTGGTCCCTTATTACAAGTTAAGTTCAAGATGAAACCACCACAATGGGGAACATGAAAAGTGGTCTCTTAACACAGGTGGTCTCTTAATAGAGTGACTGCATGAGGTTTGCATATATAAGGGTCTGTAACCAGGTATGTATGTAAGGGGGGTCTATACCTAAGTATATATGGGAGGGGGTCTATAACTAGGTATATATGGAGGGGGTCTATAACTAGGTATATATAGAGGGGTCTATAGCTAGGTATATATGTAGGGGGTCTATAACTAGGTATATATGTAGGGGATCTATAACTAGGTATATATGGAGGGGTCTATAACTAGGTATATATGTAGGGGGTCTATAACTAGGTATACATGGAGGGGTCTATAACTAGGTATAAATGGAGAGGTCTATACCTAAGTATATATGGGAGGGGGTCTATACCTACGTATATATGGGAGGGGGTCTATAACTAGGTATGTATGGGAGGGGGTCTATAACTAGGTAAATATGGGAGGGGGTCTATAACTAGGTATGCATGGGAGGGGGTCTATAACTAGGTATATATGGGAGGGGGTCTATAACTAGGTAAATATGGGAGGGGGTTTTAACTAGGTATGCATGGGAGGGGGTCTATAACTAGGTATATATGGGAGGGGGTCTATAACCAGGTCTATTCAGAATTGTCTCATTTATCCAGAAGACGATCGCATCTGAAATCAAAGGTGGCTGACTCGAAGGTAGGTGTACAAACAAGACTCCAATGTATCTTATAAGCTTACAAACTCCCCTTTCTACAACGTCTACTGCTAACTAGATATATGGGGAAGTTAGGAGGGGGCAGTTTGCTGGGTAACAAGATAAATAGCTCTCTCTGGTTCCCAGACAGCTGGTTGTACTAAGTACGCATGAATGTGCAGGATTCCAGACATTTGTCTTTAGTTAAAATGTATATAGACTCATCAAGCTTTCTCCACCTGAGCTGCCAGTAATACTGACACAGTGTTAGGGGATGGTTGAAGGGAGTGTTCTCTAAAGTCGATAACTGGGGTAGGTGTGCAGTATACAGGAGGGGTCATAGGAATACCAGGGATAGGGGGGTGTATACATATATACAGATACAGGGGATACACTGGACATGAGATACAGGCGGGGTGGGAGTAACAGGGGAGACATATCAGTTACAGGAAAGGGATATGAGTTACGGGGAGACATATTAGTTACAGGAAAAGGAAGTGAGAAACAGGGGAGACATATTAGTTACAGGAAAAGGATATGAGTTACAGGGGAGCAATATTAGTTACAGGAGAGGGATATGAGTTACAGGGCAGCAATATTAGTTAGAGGAGAGGGATATGAGTTACAGGGGAGCATTATTAGTTAGAGGAGAGGGATATGAGTTACGGGGAGACATATTAGTTACAGGAAAAGGATATGAGTTACAGGGGAGACATATTAGTTACAGGAGAGGGATATGAGTTACAGGGGAGCAATATTAGTTAGAGGAGAGGGATATGAGTTACAGGGGAGCATTATTAGTTAGAGGAGAGGGATATGAGTTACAGGGAGCAATATTAGTTACAGGAGAGGGATATGAGTAACAGGGGAGACATATAAGTTACTGGAGAGGGATATGAGTTACAGGGAAGCAATATTAGTTAGAGGAGAGGGATATGAGTTACAGGGGAGCAATATCAGTTACAGGAGAGGGATATGAGTTACAGGGGAGACATATTAGTTAGAGAAGAGGGATATGAGTTACCGGGGAGCAATATCAGTTAGAGGAGAGGGATATGAGTTACAGGGGAGACATATTAGTTAGAGAAGAGGGATATGAGTTCCCGGGGAGCAATATCAGTTAGAGGAGAGGGATATGAGTTACAGGGGAGCAATATCAGTTACAGGAGAGGGATACAAGTTACAGGGGAGCATTATTAGTTAGAGGAGAGGGATATGAGTTACCGGGGAGAAATATTAGTTAGAGGAGAGGGATATGATTTACAGGGGAGCAATATCAGTTGCAGGAGAGGGATATGAGGTACAGGGGAGACAAATTAGTTACAGGAAAAGGATACGAGTTACAGGGGAGACATATCAGTTACAGGAGAGGGATATGAGTTACAGGGGAGACAAATTAGTTACAGGAAAAGGATATGAGTTACAGGGGAGACATATTAGTAACTGGAGAGGGATATGAGTTACAGGGGAGCAATATTAGGTAGAGGAGAGGGATATGAGTTACAGGGGAGACATATAAGTAACTGGAGAGGGATATGAGTTACAGGGGAGCAATATTAGTTAGAGGAGAGGGATATGAGTTACAGGGGAGACATATTAGTTAGAGGAGAGGGATACAAGTTACAGGGGAGACATATTAGTTAGAGGAGATGGATGCAAGTTACAGGGGAGACATATCGGTTACAGGAGAGTGATATGAATCACAGGAGAGTGGTATGAGATCGAACAGGGAGGGATAATAATTATGTTACTGGGAGGGATATTACAGGGAAGGAACAGTAACCACTGGGGAGAGGGATAAGAGATAAGGGGAGGAACATTAACTACTGGGGAGAGGGATACGGGATACAGGGGAGGATTATAAACCACTTGGGAGAGGGATACGAGATACAGGGGAGGATTATTAACCACTTGGGAGAGGGATAGGAGATACAGGGGTTGAATATGAAATACATGCAATGGATAGGTGTTGCAAGGGAGGGATGTGAGATACAGGAGAGGTTTGATAGGGCTAGCTATAGAGAGGAGTATTGGGTCTATAGTGAGAGGGTGCTACAGTTATGGGGATGTTTACACATGTGTTAATTTAGTATGTAAGAGGAACACACACTAATGACTAATGAATTGGGGATGGCATTCCAACATGTTGGTTACTTTCAGGTCAAAGGATTCTGACAAAAGTCCATAGTGATAGGTGTCGTGATAGGTGACTGGTGATAGGTGTTGGGATTTTCCTTCAGAAACACAGCTGTATTTATGGTGGAGTTGACTTTGAGCTCTCCTACCCTAAGATTTTGTAAATTTTGCCAGTTGTATTTTTCTACTAGCTTATCTCCCCTTCGCCTGAAGTCGGGATCAGACATCCAAGACATCAGAATTATAAGTCTCTGTTTCTTTTATAATTTGATACTGAGGGGCCAGTCTAATGGAGGGAATTTGATTAACATTCTTATTTTTACCAAGTAGAAGCAGTTTGACTGAAGTTTGAGACTTTTTGTTGTGTATTGACCAATCAAAAGTGTTATCTTATCAAACAATCTCCACAGCAAATATTAATGAAATAAAGTTGTGGTTTAACAAGTGCATGATATTGAAATGTATGAACATTTTTAGGTCTTTGTAAGACGAAGTATGGTAACTTTTAAACTTAAATGAAACAATAAGCAATTTCATTTTTATTGACCGAACTCAAAGTTCATGTAGGTAACCAGTGGTCAGTACCCCTCTATCAGGCACTGAAACACAACATAAAGATGTGAGAAATTGATGGTGGACATTCACTAAAGTGTTGGAGGCGTCCAACACATACTAATGAGGTGTAAAGAGGCGTCCAACACATACTAATGAGGTACATATAGGTGTCCTAGACTCCCGACGATGGAGGTATGTTTATGTGTTCGTCAAAAGAAATTGGAGTTGGCACACAGCATTTACACTCTCTTTCATCTTCAAGAAAACACACATTAAACCACATTATCAAATGTACCAGAAATGTTTATCAAAAACTTGTTTGCTTCTAATGAACACAACTTTGGCAAACAGATCTCTTGTTAGACCTGTTGTAACATACAATCACCGATCCTGATAATCATGTGCACGCGTTTCAGGATCTGGCAGTCACAGCACCAAAGCATTCTGTGAACTTATTTTTTCAATAAAATTCCATTTAAAATCTCCTCTTTGAGATTCTAAATTATACATGCATGCATATTAATACAGAAATGATACCCTCTTTAACAGTCATCATTTCTGCGATAAAATATGTTAGAAATTGACTTTCAATTTTACATTGACAGAACAACGTGTCGTTTACGTATTCACATCCGAAACATACGAATACGAATTGTTGCCTTTAATTTAAGATTCACTTGTTATAATCCAAAACCTAAACACAGGATTATGCATTTCAAATGTTAAAAGATGAAATTACATGAATAAACAAAATATTAAATAATGGCCGGGAAATTATTCATAATAACCAATGCTGAATGACGCATAGTTATGACCCTTTATAATTCGGATTAAATTATAAGGTTAGGCATCTGAATTGTTAACTTTCATATGCAGACATTTTGCATAGAATTGGTTATTTCAAAACTATAAGATTTGAATTGGAATTCTAATGAAGATCGAATCACCTAGTGAACAGGTTATGTGTTTTCTGACTAACTGATCACCTAGTCAACAGGTTATGTGTTTTCTGACTAACTGATCACCTATTGAACAGGTTATGTCTTTTCTGACTAGCTCATCACCTAGTGAACAGGTTATGTCTTTTTTGGCTAATTAACAAATGAACAAATTATAAAAGCTGTATTCTTAGGGTTATTCCTAACCCTAAACCTAACCCTTAGATGGGACCCAGCATCAGTCTCAGATAGGAGCCAGCAACAGTCTCAAACAGGAGCCAGCATCAGTCTCAGACGGGAGCCAGCATCAGTCTCAGCCGGGAGCCAGCATCAGTCTCAGCCGGGAGCCAGCATCAGTCTCAGTCAGGAGCCAGCATCAGTCTCAGATAGGAGCCAGCAGCAGTCTCAAGACAGGAGCTAGCATCAGTCTCAGACAGGAGCCAGCATCATTCTCAGACAGGAGCCAGCATCAGTCTCAGATGAGAGCCAGCATCAGTCTCAGACGAGAGCCAGCAACAGTCTCAGACGGGAGCCAGCATCAGTCTCAGACAGGAGCCAGCATCAGTCACAGATAGGAGCGAACATCAGTCTCAGACGAGAGCCAGCAACAGTCTCAGACAGGAGCCAGCATCAGTCTCAGACAGGAGCCAGTATCAGTCTCAGATAGGAGCCAGCAGCAGTCTCAAGACAGGAGCCAGCATCAGTCTCAGACAGGAGCCAGCATCAGTCTCAGACGAGAGCCAGCATCAGTCTCAGATAGGAGCCAGCATCAATCCCAGATAGGAGTCAGCATCAGTCTCAGATGAGAGCCAGCATCAGTCTCAGATGAGAGCCAGCAGCAGTCTCAGACGAGAGCCAGCATCAGTCTCAAACAGGAGCTAGCATCAGTCTCAGACGAGAGCCAGCAGCAGTCTCAGACGAGAGCCAGCAGCAGTCTAAGACGGCAGCCAGCATCAGTCTCAGACGAGAACCAGCAGCAGTCTAAGACAGGAGCCAGCATCAGTCTCAGATAAGAGCCAGCATCAGTCTCAAACAGGAGCCAGCATCAGTCTCAGATGAGAGCCAGTATCAGTCTCAAACAGGAGCAAGCATCAGTCTCAGATGAGAGCCAGCATCAGTCTCAGACAAGAGCCAGCATCAGTCTCAGACAGGAGCCAGCATCAGTCTCAGATGGGAGCCAGCATCAGTCTCAGACAGGAGCCAGCATCAGTCTCAGATGGGAGCCAACATCAGTCTCAGACAGGAGCCAGCATCAGTCTCAGATGAGACCAGCATCAGTCTCAGACGAGAGCCAGCAGCAGTCTCAGACGAGAGCCAGCAGCAGTCTAAGACGGGAGCCAGCAGCAGTCTCAGACGAGAACCAGCAGCAGTCTAAGACAGGAGCCAGCATCAGTCTCAGATAAGAGCCAGCATCAGTCTCAAACAGGAGCCAGCATCAGTCTCAGATGAGAGCCAGTATCAGTCTCAAACAGGAGCAAGCATCAGTCTCAGATGAGAGCCAGCATCAGTCTCAGACAAGAGCCAGCATCAGTCTCAGACAGGAGCCAGCATCAGTCTCAGATGAGAGCCAGCATCAGTCTAAGACAGGAGCCAGCATCAGTCTCGGACGGGAGCCAGCATCAGTCTCAGACGTGAGCCAACATCAGTCTCAGATGGGAGCCAGCATCAGTCTCAGACGGGAGCCAGCATCAGTCTTAGATGAGAGCCAACATCAGTCTCAGATTGGAGCCAGCATCAGTCTCAGACAAGAGCCAGCATCAGTCTCAGATGAGAGCCAACATCAGTCTCAGATGAGAGCCAGCATCAGTCTCAGACAGGAGCCAACAATAGTCTCAGATGGGAGCCAGCATCAGTCTCAGACGAGAGCCAGCATCAGTCTCAGATGGGAGCCAGCATCAGTCTCAGATGGGAGCCAACAACAGTCTCAGATGGGAGCCAGCATCAGTCTCAGACGAGAGCCAGCATCAGTCTCAGATGGGAGCCAGCATCAGTCTCAGACGAGAGCCAGCAGCAGTCTCAGATGAGAGCCAGCATCTGTCTCAGATGGGAGCAGTCTCGGACAGAACACAACAGTAGTGCAATATAGGATTCAATAGAAGTTTCAGACAGGAAAACAACACCGACATGCACATAAGAACACAACTTACAAATCAAAAGAAGTAAAAATTACCTTGCCATGTCCTGTTCAGCTATGTCACTTCTTTGTGGATCAAGTCCCTTCCTGCCACAGTAATCACCTTCTGCTGAGCAAGTCACTTACAGTGGAGCCAAGTCACTTACAGTGGAGCCATGTCACTTACATTGTACAGTGGGGCCAAGTCCCTTTCTGTGAGGCTCTTTACTTCAGATAAATATCATACCAACTGCGATTGATGACTGTTCTGATGCATATGTACTAAAATGAAATGAAACAGAAAATATCTTAAATCATTGTCTACTAACTTTAATTATGGTCACTTTGTCTATAGATAGTTTTGTATGCCATATTTTGCATGTATAAATGTTAAAGTAGCTTTGTTTGCAAGGAAAGTCTGCAATGGCAGATAATTTCAAAATTTGAAACCTAGAAACTGTGATTCTATTCAATATATAGAATTTTTATCTGGAGGCATGACTGCATCTCTGCCCATGGGACAGATTTGAACAATTTGCATCTACACCCAAAAGCCAAAAAAGGTCAATATGAAATTTCTCTGACATCTAACAGAATGGGGGAAAAGATCATGGAAATTGTTCAAAATGCATAAAACCTTTTACCAATTTAACCTAACAGATTAAGGCCCTTGTCATCTTGATGTCAGTATGCCAAGTCTATTTCCCAGAAAAAGTGAAAATCATGTAAAAAGTTGACAATAATGCACAAACAATACTTCAGATGAAAATAAAGTTTCAGAAAGGAACAAGATAAATTTAATGTCCTTGTTGCAGGGAAACACGATTCTTTGTTTCCCTGAGATAAGCCATGTTTCAGAAGGGTGAAACAAAGTGAAACATGATTGAGCGGGGTGAAATTAAGAATCGTATTTCGGTACCACCATGCCAATAAATATTTTCTTATACTGAAATAAAACAATAACATGACAGCAAAGAGGATCAGGTAGACGTGATTTGTCGTCGACTGCTTCAGTCACTCTGACCCTGGACGTGGTGGCTCTTGCCCATTTTTCTAGGAAGGCTCTGAATAATCCATAATTTAAGAAGTAGCATACATTACATTAAGATAGCAAACTTGACATGTTTCTAAGGACTCACACAACTAAATCATTTACTATATATTATTACCAAACATTTTAGCTAATAACTTTAATATTTGAAGTTCAAAACTAGTGACAACTGTCTAGATTCATAAATACATACCTTGCAAAGGCTACAAAATGACTTTTTTGGTAGGTTTAGTGGCATATTGGAGTGTCACAGCGCCAAGAAGTTGACAACCGGAAGTTTACAAGCAAAACCGGTGACCCAAAACAGAAACGCCCCCAGACATTTTGCCCCTGTGCAAATCCGCACACAGACATGGAAATATATCAAAAGTATATATTTTTCAAAAGTTAAATACCTGAACATTTCATTTATCTAAAAATCTGTCATCAGTTCCTTATTAAACTCCTTCAGTGGCCCAGTAATTAGCCGGAACTTATTTCAAATAGGAACTACAAACGTATGAAACACTTGCTGATTGGCTGATTTAGTTGTGTGAGTCCTCTAAACATTTTCCTCAGGTTGGTAAGTATGGATTTTGAAAATTTCTTTTTACACAACCAGTAATAGTTTCTATGTGATGTTTCCATGACTAGTTTGATATGTACACTGTCACCTTCATCAGACAAATGACCAGCGGAGCGTTTGCACACAAGGTGTAAAATGTGCAAGAGTTGTTCAAAAATTTGATATTGATTCGGCTACGCTTACAATGAGTTGTTATATATGTACCGAAATGACTTGATTCTGCTACGCTTTGTTTAATACTTGGTCAGAGATGTACGAGAGTCTTTGAGCCCCCTCATCTCGATTTAGAAACGTCATTGAAACGTCACATAGAAAATCTTGTTGGTTGTGTAAAAAGAACTTTTCATAATCAAAACTTGAAATGATATACAAATACATCACTTCAGAAACTACCATACATTTTCCATCATTAATTATCTATATGGATATATTCCAATCAGTGACATAATAGCAAACCACCATTGATCATGCCGACATTTCACAGAAGTGTATAATTGTTATGAAAGGGTTTCACCGAGCTTCGGGAAGACTCCTTTACCAAATACAGCCCTTCTTTATAGATTGATAATTGACCGGTCAACAATAGTCAGACCTGGTGGACAGGAGAAATGTATGCTGATTACATTCCTAGATAGCCAGTATTTACACCAATATGGCATGGCTAGACAACAGTCGATGTGCACCTATCTGCTCGGAGAGAAATGATGCTATCTGGCTTTCATTAGACTGTCTACATTTACTAGGGGGATTATAACATGTCAGAGACTGTGCATTATTCAACAGATATATTTTCACACAACCGTGTATTTACACATCTTATAACTTCCTATTGTGTAGACAAACAAAAGTATCTCCAACTCAACAAAACAGAACAGATGTTTCACCCCTGTGACCTTGACCTTTTTGAACAGACTACAATAACTACTGTCACACTAGACCTCTTATTGAGAACTTGGCATTAAGTCAAGAATCTGTTACACAATGTTATATCCATAAAGTGTTATCAAATATCATCATCTGTTCAGAAGACGAATCACAAGGAAAAACAGTGACCTGTCGTCTGACCTCTAAGAGTGATTTTCAATTATAGCATTAATGTTGAATTATCAAAAGGAGACATCAGTAAATGTTAAACCTACATGTACAAACCAAACTTCTTCTGTATAAAAGTTTTTAATTAAAACATTCAGCCTTGACATCCAAAAGATCAGTTAACCTTTTAACCTCTACTTAAAACTGACTTTGTTGCTGAGCTTTGACCTTTACTAAGGCTGTCATTGTTGCTGAACTTTGACCTCTACTAAGGACTGACATTGTTGCTGAACTTTGACCTCTACTAAGGACTGACATTGTTGCTGAACTTTGACCTCTACTAAGGACTGACTTTGTTGCTGTACTTTGACCTTTACTTGGGCTGTCATTGTTGCTGAACTTTGACCTCTACTAAGGACTGACATTGTTGCTGAACTTTGACCTCTACTAAGGACTGACATTGTTGCTGTACTTTTACCTCGACTTAATTAAGACAGACATTGTTGCTGAACTTTGACCTATCCACTGACATTGTCACTGAACTTTGACCTCTGCTTAAGATAGAGAATGTTAGAGAAGATGTTTAGATGTAAAAGACTTATAGCGATACTTATGACACAAGCAGAAAAAAATATCAAAAATCTATTTATCAAACAAGAGGCCCAGAGGGCCTGTATCGCTCACCTGAATATAATTAAAGTAATTGGTATGAAGTAAAGATATAGCACTCTATGGTAGGTGCTGTAAGTACATATGAAATTTCAGAAAGATCCATCCAGTACTTGAGATACAGAGAACAAACTTCATACAGAGCCCCACCCCTATGCCCCTACGGGGGTCATACCCACCAATTTTGCACGTACTGCTTATACAAAATTGAGTCCCCTTGGCCCAAGGATGCTCCAGACTAAATTAGGATAAAATCGTTTAATCCCTATGGTAGAAGAAGGATTTTAAAGGTTTTACCTCTATTTTCCCTATTGGGCCCTGCCTCTCTGCCTTCAGGGGGGTCAGACACACCATTTATACAAAATTGGTTTCCCTTCACCCAAGAATGCTTCAGACCAAATATGGACAAAATCCTGTCATTCCTACCGAAGAAGAAGGATTTTGAAGATCTACGTCTATTTCCCCTATTGGGCCCCACCCTTCAGGTCCAAGGGGGGCCACACCCAACGTTTATACAAAATTGGTTCCCCTTTACCCAAGGATGTTCCACACCAAATATGGACCAATCCTTTCATTCCGACAG